ACTTGACCCATTTCCAACATTTTATACTATAAAAAAGAAGACATTTTTAAGTGCAATCAAACATGTTTCGTGTAATAAGGATTTGATATTGATGTCTTAATTAAATGACATAAAAATAAGTTAAGAATACAGAGATTATTTCCAATTATTTTGGGAGTATTACAAATCCCTCACGCCTTGCTTGATGAGGTGTCTTCTACAATTCTAATGAGATTGAAGAAAATAAATTTTAAAAATTTGTTCAATTCAATCCAATAATGCACGCTAAACATTATTTTCAAATAAAAATCAAATTCTTTACTTAAATTTTACGAAAATTTCAATATGTACTGGTCATCCACCCCCGATGGTGGTGATACTAGACATGAAAGAACGTTATGCTACACCAAATTTTATTTATATTATTCAATGTTGTATAATCCACTTTATTAAGCCCTGTTTGATAGCCATTATTCTTAAAAAAACAATGGTTTGAATATTAATTTTTAGAAGAATGTGTGGTTAAGAAATAGGGAAAAAAATTGAGTTTACGTGCAAAATATTTTATTACATGAATATGTTGTTGAAAATGAATATGCAGAAATTTTTTTTTAATAATGATTGTCGAGGGCTAAATATGTCATTATTATTTATTAGGCCTCCATTTGTTTCTCATTTTTTATCCATAAAAATGAAAAATATGACCATTATCCATCAGACCATCACATCAAGCCATCAATTTTGAATTTCTATCTCTCGTGTGGGTTCAATAACGTCTATATTTTTCATTCTCATTCTACAATAATGAGAATCAAACGGGTCATATAATGAACTTTTCTAATTTTCCAATTGGAGAATCTAGGGTTCATTTGATTGCAATAGTGAAATTTGGGTGGAAAGAAAATGAATTTCAGGGCATTGAATTGCTTAGAATTATTTTACTAGAAATTGTCAATTAATTGTGTTTGATTGAAATAATCTTTCACGTGGGAAATATTGAAATTTTGGATCTTTTGGTGTTCGCTTGGCTTTGTATTACACGAAAATTGCCCATTAAAGGATTTTTTTTTTTACAATTGTCCATAGAATTTGATTTTATTGCCAATTTTTTTTTTTTTTTTTAAAAGGGCTGCAAAACATTTTCCCACCAAAGTGATGGAAAAACCAATTCAACAAAAATAAGGAAAAATGGGCCACGTAGGTGGGAGGAAAATATTTTCCATGAAAATTTTTGGCTATCAAACATGGTAAAAATGAAAAATTGAATTTCAATTCCATTTTCCATAAAAAAAAGGGCATATCAAACCAGCCCTAAGGGTCCGTTTGATTACAAGAGTGAAATTTGAGTGGAAAGAAAATGAATTTCAGGGAATTGAATTGCCTAGAATTATTTTTCTGAAAATTGTCAATTAATTGTGTTTGATTAATATAATTTTTCATGTGAAAAATATTGAAATTTTGGATCTTTTGGTGGTCGTTTGACTTTGTTTTACATGGAAATTGTTCATTAAAATGATAGAATTTATTACAATTTGTGACAAAAAAAAAACCTGAAAAATCAAATCCCACCAAATTGTTAGGAATTCATTTTCCTCAAATCCATGAAAACCCAACCATGTGAGGCAAAAGGGAGTAAATGAATTGCCAAAAAAACTCGGCCAATCAAACATGCCATTTGGGTGGAAATGATATTTCTTTTCCATTTTTCATGGAATTTTTGTCGAATCAAACATGGCATAAGATTAATTAGAATGGCGGGTAGCTAGGAGTTTTATTCATGAAACTTGTACACTCTCTCTCTCTCTCTCTGTGTGTGTTTGGTAAAAAACTATGCATTACCTTACTATTGAATTAGACGAACTATAATAATGTACCTAAGAAGGGATGCAACAATATGGTTCAAATTTGGTTCAAAGAGAGACATAAAGTCAAACCTATAACGTATGATCACAAAGAAACGATCGAACCTAACACAAATCTTGTAGTTGTAATATTATTTACCAAGTCATCATACTTCCATCGTTTTTGTTGACATAGTATTTTTCTTGTTTTATTAAAGTAGAAATTAGGACACGAATTTCAGCCGAAAAATGAGTCTAATTTTGCTACACAATATTTAATTGAATTAGGCTGCAGGAATTACCTGCAATTTATTATTTAATATAATAATGTAATGGGATTGAGATTGTTTGACTAATCAAACAAAATAAATCTTAAATTATTCGATATTTTATTTTGTTGTTAGTATCAAGTTATTATTATTATTATTTTCTTTTTTAACATGTTTCAATCGTTTTCTGAGAAAAAACTAATAATTTGTAGAATATCGTAGAATACTATTGAAACCACGTATTAAAGATCAAATTTAAAGAGCAATATTTTTATTTTTATAATGGAGTCAGTCTTCAAGAGCAAGAATACTCGTCTTTCGCTCTAATAATTTAATCTTTTAGAGGCAAGAAAATATTGTTTAATAAACAAATAAAATATTTAGGTTCAATCCACACGAGCTTCCATGGATTTTCCAACCCAATCTCTTTACGAACAGATTGAATGTTCTTGATCTCGAGATTTGTACGAGATAAGAATGTCTTGCACTGATTGGTAGCAGGTTGAAACTATCCAAATAGGCACAAGCCATGAGTAGGTAAGAAAATCAACACAAATGATGCTGGTCTGCCTGCAAAATGAAGCAAAATTGGTTTACCAACTACAAGAAAATTTTGAAGCAAAACCAATAATTTGTTATTAACTGATTAAAAGAGTCAAAGAATGCTAACATGTTTTGTACGTAGTACTTGACAACACGAAAAAAGGATAACATGTCTTTTTCTTCCTTAACCCTGTTAGGTTCAGCACACAAAACATGAAATAAGAGTACACAAAATCTCGACTCAACTTATAAAAGTTTGTCTATGTTAATACTGCATAACTATGTTCAATAAACAGCTAGTTCTGCAGCTCAATCACAATTGGATTTTAGGATATGGTACCTGCTTCGTTTTTTAAATCCATGATATTTTCGTCTCAGACACTGGATTTATACCCCATTCTTTCCTTGATAGAGCTACATTTACTGAGGGAGAACAGAGCAAGAAGCAGGCCAGGGTGGGAAATCCTCCAGTCGGAGAATAGAGCAATGGATTCGCGGTGTCGTGGACACTACAAAACATGAAAAAAATCAACTTCACCACTTTATAAAAAGAAATAACATAACTAAACAACTTATAACACCAAAAAAATTGAGCAAACTCAAGCAGGTAAAAAATAGTGGAACTTAAAAGCTTCCTTCATGCAGGTAAAAAATAGCAGCTCAAACCGGCTAGCTAAAATTTATCATCAGGCACAAAACCCCTTTGCAGCATTTCATCATCGAACTTAAAAAGCTTCCTTCATGTTTTCCTGTGAGACATGACTATTTACTAGTTATATGTATGTAGATCTATCAGGTGTGATGCCCCTCTCAGTCATCTTCTTGTATATCATGTTGGCTCCTTGCAAAGACCTAGTCTACAGAACCCATCAAGAACAACATTATATGTAATTACATCAGGTAATAGACCATCACTTTCCATCCGGTTTATCAAATCAAAAGCTTTGTCGATGTTCTCCTCTTTTACAAATCCAGGTATAAGAGTTTTTTAAGTAATAGAATCAGGAAAAATTCCTTAGGACTTCATCTTCTTCAAAAACTCATTCGCCTTTCCGGAATCACCATTCCTCTGTAATAGCCTTTTGTGAGAGTTACGAGTCACTATAGTGGGCTGAATTCCTTTATCGACCATCTCACTCCACATCCTAAATGCATCAGATAGAAGATCATTACTACAGAATCCATTTATTAGAGCACTGTATGCAATACAGTTAGGACATATCATTTTCGAGATCATATAATCCCTCAATTCTGGGGCTTTTTCCATTTCACCTGCTTTACAAAATCCATCAATCAAGGTAGTGTATTTATACACAACAGGCTTGAGATTTATCTGAAACATAGATCTGAACAAAGTTAATGCTTTATTCATATTCCCAACCTTGCAATACACCCCTTTCCACCATCTCATCTCATTTTGAATAAGACACATTCATTAGATAAAGAAACACAAAATGAATGAGAGAGAGAATGAAATGGTAAACATGAGTACAAGGAACCTGTGCCATTAATAATGGAGATAATGTATGATTTTACTAAATTAAATATTAGTACTTTCTTTTATACGTTCTTGACATTTTTGTTAATAATGTATATTAATTTATATTCCTTTGTTTACTTTCTCCAGCATCAACTTCCTTCATTTTAAGAAATAATGTTTCAAAAAGAAAAATTTCGGGCTTTGGGACCCCTACTTCGACGGGCTGGCTGTGCCTCTGCCCATAGCTCTCCACTAATGAATCCACAATCTCAGTTCTGGAAGCTCCACTCCTCCTAATCCTCCTGAGAATCAAAGCCTGAGCATCGGAAGTTCTGTTACTCCCAACTAATACATGTACCGCGGCGCTCAAAGACCGAAAAGACTGCTGGAAATTCGGGTAATTTAACGCAACAAAATCAATAAACCTCTGACCCATTTGCAAATTATTCCGACATTTAAGTAGAACTTCAGCAAAAATTGATGGTTTTAACTGCTATAATACATGCGTGTTAATAGACTGACTTTCCTTCAGAGCCCACAAAATCTTTTCAAGCATGGTTGGCCTTCTGAATCGTGCGACCTTTTAAACGGTGCCCTTTCATAAAATTGAAAAAACATATTGAGAAAAAAGTATATTTCAATAATATTATATTATCGCAAAATTATGATATATAAATACTGTTTATTTTTTTAAATGTCGTGAATAAGAGAAATAAAGGTAAAGTTCAAAAGCACATCCTAAACTTCATAAAAATTCATATGTCATCAACAAAGAACTATCCATATCACTAAACTCTTCGTGCAATTCCATATGAACAAACGTCAAATCAGAAACATCAAATACCACGTGTAAACTTTGAAATGAAACAAATCATGTAAAAATACATTTCTAAAAGCAAACTCACTAATTAAACTTTCGTAATGAATATGTTCTAGCAAATCTTGTCCAATAGATATCAAAGTTAGGTCATTCAATCCTTCTTGTAACATGATTGGTTGTAAATAAGATTTTAATAATTTCAATTTTGAAAAACTTCTTTCGACAGATACAACAATAACATTAATTGTCAGTAATACTCTATAAATAATAAATATATTCGAAAAACAATTCGATCTTTTCAAATAAGTCAATATATCAAAATTTGTCTTTGTTTGTTTTGCTAAAAGATTTTGCTAAATTTTTAACGCTTAAAACAAATCTTTGCCATCAAGATTGCAAAAAATTACAGGAATGTTCCCTTCGTACTTCAGTTTTTAGTTTTGAGTTTTGAATTCATTTTGAGTTTTGTGTTTTGAGTGTCCATTTTGAGATTGTTGAAAAATGATTCTTTTTATCATTTTGAAAAATTGTTTTCAAAAATAAAAAAACCCAGAATCCGTTTACATTCTTCCCATCCTCTCTCTTCCCCGCCTTTCTCCCCCCGCCTATTTTTCTTCTTTCTTCCCCTCTTCACTGCCCAACAACTCTTCTTCGGCGAGACACACGTTTTCATCAACCGCGAGAAACACTGTGTGCCTTTTCTCCGACGAGACACACGTCTTCACCGTTGCAGAACTGCGAGAAATATTGTGTGCAGCACTCTGACACCGTCGCGCATAGCGATTTCATCAACGTTGATACTGATTGTGGTGGTGGTAGTGTGGTTTGGGATGGTTTGGTGGTGTTGGTGGGTTTTGGGTGATTTTTGTTGATTGTACAGAGGGTTGGGCATGGGTTGGGTCAGGTCGGTTTTTGCCTCAATCCAAACCCAACTAAACAAGATCGGTTTGATCATAGCTTAACCCAACCCAACTCAACCCATGTAAATGTTGAAACCCAATCCAACCCAATCAAGTATCGGTCTGGTCGGGTTGAGACAACTTGTCAATAAAAACTAAAATAGGCGGGTTAGATTGAACAGATTTATAATTGACTCATGACTTATAAAATATTTAGTCTCTATAGTTGCAATGAACAAAAAAATCTAAATTATTTTGACACTTTATGCCCCGAAAATGTTACATAGACAGATTAATATTAAATTATATGAAGTCAATAAATTTTTTTGGCAATTAAAATATTTTTGTGTTAATGTATATTTGCTTATACTATTTTGCGTAAAACGCATTCTATCCAAATCTTATAATATTATTCTAAGAGTTTCCAAACAATATCATAACACTTGTAAAGTTCATAAATATAGTCGGGTTTGGTTGGACGGGTTTAGTCGATTTTTATGAGTTAACACATAACCCGACCTAACCCAACCCGCCTACACAACCAACCCACCAAACCCATGTAAAAACAACAAAAAAAAAAAACCCAAACCGATCGGGTTGGGCGGGTTTGGTCGGATTTTGCCCACCCCTATGTCCAGGTAGGTGTGTTGTAGCGATTTTTGTTGGTGGCTACGGTCGAGTTGTTGACGGTTGTGGTAGCGATCGACGATGGTGGTGCGGTGGATCTAGGTAATGTTGGTGGTGCAGTAGAGGTGTTGAGGTGATGGTGGCGGTCGACAATGGTGATGATGGAGTGGTGGATCTAGGTAGTGTTGGGGGTGCAGGTAGAGATGTTGACGATGGCGGTGGCGGTGGACGATGGTGATGGTGGTGTGGTAGATCTAGGCAGTGTTGGTGGTGGTCGGTGACGACGGCCTTGGTATCGGTGTTGTTGGTGGAGTTGTGGCAGCGGTGTTGGTGGTGGTTGGAGTGATGTTAAACTGAAAACACTTAAAACGCGTTGTGAAAATTTTGATTTGGTTTTAACTGAAAACCCCAATAACGAAAAATTTATCGTTTTAGGTTTTCTTTGTAAATTTTAAACTCGCTTTCGAAAATTCGTTTATGAAAATAGGTAAGTAAACGTGTTTTCAGTGTTTTCGAAAATTGAAAATTAAAAATAGCTTGAAAACAGCAAAGAGAACATACCATGCATGTCTTAGAATAATGTTAAGATGATCACAACATGCTTTCAAATTAGTATCATCCAATGCGTTTAACTTGTCAGAAGAAAGTAGAAATCCATTTTTTTCATGTGAATTGAAGTGATCGAGTCTTCGTTCAAGTGATCCAATTGCTTGATCTACTATATAAAAGAAATAATTGGTTATGAAAGAATTTTCAAGTGATTATGTGTCCTCTACAGTAGCATTTTCATCAAAATGTTTCTTCATACGAATTTTACTTTTTCCTCTTTTCCCTCACATTATTTAAAGTATGATACTATTTAAGAAAATAATAATCAGTCAATTACATTATTTTTAACTTTAGTATTTTATGCAATTGCATATCATACCAAGTCAAATGCCTACAATTAATAAATAAATAATCCATAAATGAAAATAGTTAAGCACAACATATTGAAATTAGCTATGAAGGAGCCTAAACCATCTGAATCATTTCCCTTACTTTAATCAAAATGACTTGATATATGTAATTAGGAATAAGAAATACAACAATGTTAAATAAAATTCATCACGTGTCTATCTTTTAAATCTTTTTTCATAAATATTGTGTCATTTAACTTAACTTGATAATTAAAATTTTAAATTTTAAAATTAATAAATATTTTAAATTTTAAAATTAGTAAATATGTATGTATGTATGAACCAACCCGATTCAATAACATTTTGATATCATTTGTTGAGAAACCGGCCAAATAATTAAAGATGAAAAATATGGATAATATGAAATTTAATGGATCACACAACAATTAAGAAAATTGTGGAAGATGATAATTTATTATACCAAGAAACGAACAATTGTCATACAAGATTTTGATCATCTCAATCTAATCTAAATAATTCTCTTTTGTTTCTAATGTATATAACAATGATTTAATTGTTATAATTTCTCTTGAGTCTTTCCTTTTCACATTTTTTTGAAGTGTCTATATCTTGTGGAGTATTTATAGAAGCCAAATCTCGAAATTGTGGATGAGGTAGTGTCCAAAATGGAGAAAAAGTCTCAAAATTCGAATAAAACAAAAAAATTGCGATCAGTTACTGTAGCAGCGCCTAGGCGCTACTGTTATAGTGCTTGGGCACTAGGTGCAGGTCACTACCTCCACGCCAGGTCTCTGCCTCATTTTTCTTGTGCTTCAATTCTGGCGCCTAGACGACGCGATGGTAGGCTAGGTTTCGAGTTAACATTTCAAAACATACTTTTTTGCCATCCAAGAGTCATTTTTCAAGTCAAATTCCTAATTATTATTGAAATTTCATCTCCATAACTTAAGACTCTACAAACCCAAGTACCTTAGACTTCCTCCAATCAACCAAATCCCAAATCACATGGAATTCAATCAACCAAGACTTATAAACCAAGATTAAATAAACTTCTTTTATGCAACAAACTTCTAAATCACATAGAATTTTTATCACAAAACTTAACAATATATACACACAAATAACAGATTTTTTTTGGTACCCCTACAACGATGAGTCCATGTACGGTTGCGTAACTTACTCACCCTCAAGGCCGCCTCCGTTTTCAAGTAAAAAAAAAACCAGGGTGGAATTATCGGAATTGCATCTTTGTGTGTGAATGGAATTGGTGTGTGTTGCTCTGAAGAATTTCTTGGAATGTAGAAGTTGGCGTTTGCTTGACATTGCTAAGGTGGCCGTTGCCTTAGGAGACTGTTGCATCTATGCAAATATGAATTCTTTTCAAATTTTCTAAGTTTTCATTTAATGATTTAATGTTTTTCTTTGAAAGGTAAAAACATCTTTCAGTAATTTCATATGTAAACAAGGGAAACCGTCGTAAAAGCTTGTTATTCATTTCGTCGCTAACTCTATATTTTTGTGACGGTACAAGCTCAATAAATATGAATGTTACTTCATGAAATAACTAGGAACGAACCAATTCATATGTCTTGGCTGGACTGCTTCAAAATTGATTGAAGACTTAAGTCATGAAATATTGAAAATAAGAATCTCAAATGGAAGTTGAAAAAGCTAAAGATAGACCACACTAACTGCAATTTACCTTATTTTTACTATAAAATAAAAAGTTAATTTATGTATTTTATCAAAATAAATAACTTGGTTATTTTTAATTTTAATCAGTAAAAATTAATTATTGAAAACAGCTAGTCAATCTTAAATGCTAATTGCTAAATAGTAGAATATTAATATTAAAATGTTAAACTTGAATTAGTAGAAAATTTAATTTAATTATTTTAAGCACAAGATATTTTTTTCAATCTGACATGTCACATTCTTATTGGTTTATTTGCCCACCCGGGCGTCTCTCCACCGTAGTAAAATCTCTTTTACCCATAGATACCAAAAGAGGAAATTACTTTTAAACCTGAATTTAAAATATCGTTTTCAAAAAACATGAATCAAGTTTTATTTTACAAAAATCAGGTTTTAATTAATAATTTAAAATCTTTTTTTTCTTATTTTTATTTTATTTTATACTAATCAAACCCTAAAACTAATTCATTTGAAGAAAGCACTCTCTCACCGTCTCTCCATTTTCTCCCAA